ATTGGTTCTTGTAAAGCTTCCTTGATGTTTGATGATGAAATGGAGTTCAAGGAAGTGGAAGATTCTTCTGTAGATTCACTCACCATATGCTCGGCTCTCACAGCTGCAAAGAGTACCATAGCCTGCTCTGTATATTGAGTCTGGCCGTTATTAACTTGGTTCTCCATGTAGAAAAATATAGTTAATATTTTCAAATTTAGAAAGTTTTATTTTATTACTTACTATAGATAATAATAATATTCTTACAGATAATATTTCTTTTCTATACAACTCAAAAGATAATTTAGTTCTTTATAGTAAATAAGTTACAATTACTGAACTTTTTGAAAGTTACTATATTCTTACTTGGCCTCTATTAGCTTCTCAACTAATCACTAATAATTTAGAAACAGAAAAATATATTACTGCTTTTATAAATCTTACAAAAACTTTTAGCTCATATTACATTTCTTTTAATTTATCTTGAAAACAACTTCTTGAAGATAGTTCTTCTAATACACCTTTATCTTAACTTATTATTTTGCAATTTTAGTTTCTTTTTTTACTTTTTTATATTATTAATAATCTTCCTAATTTATAACTTAACATAATAAAACAAGCTTTATAAGATACTATTGTTAATCTAAATTTTTATTTTAACTATAACAATAACAAAAGTTGTTTAACTATAACTTAACAGATTCTACACAAAGTCTATAGTAAGACTTAACAATATACAGAGTAATTTAGAATTTTAAAGCAGAAACAACAATAGATAGTATATAAAAATACTAAATATTACATTTAATTTATTCATTATTAAATATATAAAGACATTTTTTATTAAAATATAGAGACACCTATTTGAAATATAAGAACATTTAACTTTCTTAAAAGGTTAAAAAATAATAATTTTGTAGATATTTTATATATATAAATAATTACAATAAAGACTACTCTATTGCTAATAAATGTTATATATAACATCACTATTAAATTTTTAATAAAACTATTAGATAATATATATAACCAAATATGAAAACTATACTGTACAAAACTAGCCAATTGAAACATTAACACAATATATCTACTCAACCTATATGCACTCAAACAAATATATATAATAACCTAAACAATATAAAATAAATATATTATTCTATATTACTATATATTTACAACTGTATTTGTGACTTGGCAGACCAACAACACATAGAAGACAACACAATATTTGCTTATCTGTAAGAATAGCAAAAAAGAAACCATTTATTTGAATATCTGAATAGATTAAATATAACATTCCAACTAACAATATAATTAACTATCAAATTAGCAATACTTCAATTAACAAAATCTAACTACTCTAGTAGGTTTAGATTGCAGAAAAATTAGATTAAACTAGGTAGTCTTAGTATATCTATAGTCAGAATTTCATTTTTGTAAACAATTTGTAAACTTGACCTTTGGTTAAAGAAACTCTTTGTGGATTCTTAATACAAATTATAATAAAGATAAAGGCAACACCTCACCTGAAAAATAAAATAAAATAAAATAAATCTGGAATTTAAAAAAAATTCCAAATATAGTTTTAAAATATTATTTATTAGTTTTAAACCTATTAGTAATTTTTTATAAGTTTTTGTAAAATATATCTATATTTTATTTTGAATTGTTATTTTTTTGTTATATTATATAATAAACTCAAATTTGTAGTTCAGAATTAGATTGATTTTTTAAGATACTTTTTAATAATAAAAAATTATTGTTTTTTTTAGATTTTTTGTATTTTTTTAACTTTTGAATCTGATGTTTAAGTTTCTAAACCAAGTTTTATTCTTTTTATAACTTTTCTGTTGGTAAGTAAAAATTTTATTTTCTAATTTAGTTTTTTTAACTAGCCTAGAGTTTCTTTTTTGATATTTTTATATACAAAAAATCAGTAGAAAAACTATAATGTAGATATGTGAATACAACAAAATATTATCAAATTTAATTCTACTATTATTAAGTTATATTTATTTAACATTTATTAAAAATTAAATTTATTTAATTTTTAAATAATATTTTAATAAAGTTAGCTTGTTATTAAAATAATCAATTTCAATATTTAAGAACTCTTGAATTTTACAAAATTGGTCTTAAATTAATTATATCATTATTAAAAAAATTTTATATAAAATTAAAAATAGTTTGTTAGTATTAGTATATTCATGACGTCATAAAATAGATACTTAATAAAAAAATCAATATTCAGTAAAAGATATAGGAATCCGAATTTAACTTATTTTTTGTTTACAGAAAATTTAGAGATCGTCCTATCTGATTAAATAAAAAATACTATATAGTTCAGTAAAATGTACAACTGAACATATGTATATTTACTTAATTCAATGCATTGTTACTCTATGATATAAATTCAGTATAACATAAAATCGAAATTATTAGATTTTTTTTAAAGAGGTTAATCAAATGTTTTAAAAGCCAAAAAAAAAAATTATTCGCATTGGTTAAATTAAATCTTAGCTCTCTTTAAGCTGTATATCTCTAAATCGCTCTCCTGGGCGTTATTACTAGACGATATGGTAAAACTATCCTTTAAAGGTTTTTTGTCAATTTAGTTATCTATCGTATCAGATAATGCTATCTTACACTTGTGGATGCTTAAAAATTCTTATCAAACTTGAAGTTGTCTCAGTAAATGAGTGTCGCTAAAAGAAAACCCGCAAATTTAAATATGACTTATATTTAAATTTTCGGGTTTTCTTTTTGCGACACTCAAATGATGATCTCTTGAATTTGTAAATGATGGATTTCACGAATTTAATAAAAAAAAAAAATGCAAATCCCAATTGACACTATAAGATCGGCGCACAACTACATTTAGAAACGATCTCAGGCTATCATTAACTTTTACCAATCATTAAAAAAAACGTATCAGTATTCTTAATTAGGAACCGAATAAAAGCACGTGATACGGGTTATTTTTCAATTTAACAAAAGAGGAAATTAATAAGCAAGTATCATAAGGTTAATTAAATCATACGATTCAATCGATAGTTAAAGAAGGATTCAAACATTATTTGCCAGAAAATTATTTCCTCGGTAAAGTAAGTTGGCCGGCATTAACCATAATGTTGTTAGATTTTGTAGCGGAAGCCCACAAAATTGCTATGTATACGAATACGTATTATCGAACCGGCATAAAGTACGTATATTGTACTGTAATCCGTCATGGAAAAATCCAGAATCATATGTACATGTCACTTAGTCGTTTTCGTCAGCACCTTTTGCACAGAGCTCGTGAGTACTAATTGTAGCGGTTTTAAAGTCTTTTATTATTTAAAATCCTATACTCACTTAGATAAACACATTCCTTTTGCCTCAATAAGATCCACATTTGCTACGTAGAGTTATGGGATCTACAGAAGATCATAAAATGTGAGGTTTAACGTTAACGTTAATTGTAGACGCCCATAATTAGTTTAATCACATTCTATAATGCTAAAACTAGTAAAATCATGCGCCTATCTAACACCCTATGTAACGAATAACATTATAAACAAACACCTTATGCGTAGCACTCGCATATCTCTGTTTATTACTGCTATCAACGTTCATAATCTGGTGATGGATTTATTAGACTTGGAAGAACAACTTATATTTTACTGGAAATATCATATTCATAAAGTTAACGCACTTATTCATATTGGTACAGGATAACTTTTATTGTTTGACCGAGCCGCTTTTTATTTTTGTGTTTTTTTTTTTGTTTGCTACATGTTGGTAAATTTTAAGTCATAGCTTATCTTATTGCTTGCTTTCATATTTGGGTCGTCTTGGATAGTGTGTACACCTCTCATCTTGTGGAGTTTTTTGGTCTTGATAGCAAATTTTGGACCATTATTGTCTTATGAACCAAATTCATTATGGCGCTTTACACCATTTATACCTAATGCAGCGTTTTTTACTGTGATTTTTTACATAAGTTATTATGTACTTTTGGAACCTTTTGCTGGGGTGAGTTATACATTAATAATTCTAACAATTTTTTTTAATTCCCATTAATTAATTAAATAAATTAAATCATAATTTATGTAGGTCCTTTGTGCACCGTTCCTCCTTTACATGATGTATGATGCAACAAATTTTGTCGTAGCATATCCAAATCATAATACTTTAGCCATAATTGTTTTTGTTACTTCCTTGTTTATGCAAATTATTGGTCATATATTTGTTGAGAGAAGTGGTCCTGCAGCAAAAGAGAACATTTTAAAAGGTTTTGATTGAATTTTTTTTCAAAGTTTTTTTTTTAAAAAAAAGATAATAACTTAACTTTATAATAGCATTTCTTCTTGCACCTTTATTTGCTTGGATGGAAGTTCTTTTCTCTTTAGGATATCGACCAGCACTTCAAAAAAGAATATTCTCACAAATTGATGCTAGAAGTAGACAATTGGGTTAAAAAAAATTTATATATAATTTGAAAAAAGATGAATTATTTCTTTTTTATCACTAGTTTGAGGATTTAATAATTGATTAAGTTTAATAGATGTTTTTTTTTAGATGATTTAACCGTATATAAAACAGATTCGATCTCGATCATGATTATGCAATAATGTAACTTTAATGCAATAGTTGCATTAAGTCATTAATCAAAATAGTACATCATCATAACAAAACTTTATATATATATATATATCTATATATAATATTAATTAAACATGAATTGATTTAAATGAAAAAATGTTTGCGTTATAAATTAACCAGCTTTTTTTTTTAATGAATTAATAATTTGTTTATTTTATTTTATTCGTTTCATTAATGAATTATTAATTAATTTATTTATTTTATTCGGTTATGATTTGAAGCAATACAATTTACACGAATCCTTGATTTCTCTGATGAAATGAACATCTATATTCGTAGAATTTTCAATAATCATCATCTAGAATTACATTTTAAACCAATCATTATCTGTTATCTAGAATTAACATTTACTTTTTACACAAACAAACGTTCATAAATTATTGAATTAATAATTTATAATATTTGCTTGTTACATAAATAATCCAAAGTTTTTTTTTTGTACTTTAAATTATTGTATCGCAAGAACAATATTGAAGAAATATCTAATGTAAAAAAGAAAATTTATTTTTATTGTTAAATATCAACAAGTCTGATACTAAAATAAATCTAAACGTTATAATAGATAAGAGTTGGTTTTATGAAAATATGTAATTTTTAACTTTTAACCCTAATTTTTTAAATCTTACCGCTTAAAAAAAGGTTTAGCATACGTGCATATAATCTTTATAGAGAAAAATTCATGTACCATTTGCAAGCTCGATAGTATGTTTGTATATAATTAAATTTAAATGTATTCTTTATATTTTCCTTTCTTTAATTGAGTTGAATAAGTAAAAAGAAGTCTCTAGAAATCTTCAATTAGTTTAATTGCAATTCAAATAAATCAGTACAAAATGTCAAAAAATTTTAATCAAATTAAAATTGTAATCTCTGTGCGTAGTTTCCAAGTATTAAAAAAAAAAACTAAAATCTTTATTATTTAAATAATTTACAAATTTGAGAAATATTTATAAACAAAAAAAAAGCCAAATTATTCAAGTACATAACGTACATACGTACGACATACAGGACTTTGAATGACTTTCACTTAATATTATTATAATAATGACCCTAAAAAAAAAGCTAACGCTAATATTAAATAATGATATTAAAAATACAAGTAAAATCATAGATGGTTCTATCATTTTGCTCAACAAGAACGATAACCATCCAGTAGAAATTTCTTGTTATAAAAAAAATAATATGCTTATAAAAAAAAATTACATAGCAATAAATAATTATTTTGCAAGAGTAAATCTTGTACTAAAACTATCTAAATTATCCATTATATTAACACCATTTAATTCTGATATTGTCTTTTGCAAAAGCGTGATTTCATCATCTTGAGGAATACATAACTGAGTTTGAAAAAGAAATAATTAATAATTCATTAACTAATTACATTAACTAACTGCTAATAGATAATAGCCAATTATCTTACCTCTCCTATATCATAAATATGAACACGTCCATCAGAAGCTCCAATTACTGTCTTTCTCCCTTCTTTATCCCATTGAACCTTATTTAATGCCTTTCCTTCACCAACTTGAGTACTAACAATTGGTACCTATCATTTATTATTATAATAAGTTTGAAATAAATGCTTAATAAACTTAATCATGTATAATATATGTTATGAGAAATATAAAAGTTACCTCAACATCCATATTCAAGTTCCATAAAGAAAATTTTCCTGTACCATCAACAGAAGCAAATTGTGCTGGATGACGAGGTGACCATTTAACATCATAAACATAATCATCAGAACTTTCGAAAGAATGTAATGGTGTAATGATTTGTGGATGTGTTGACGGTTTTAAAAATGACTTTTTAAAAAAAAAAAACATTACCAGATTATTACCAGAATATTTCCAGATTAGATATGATTATTATAATAAATTAAATTATCTTACTTCGGCTCTCCATAACTTAACAGTCCAATCCACGGATGAAGTCAAGAATAAATCAGAAAATTCATCCGAACCATTATTAGGGTGGAAATGAAGACCAGTGACTGGTCCCCAATGACCTTTATAAAAGTCATATTGATTGATTCCAGCTTTGCTAAAAAAAAAAATATTTTTTTTTAAAAAAAATGATATTTAAAATAATAATTAAAATGGATAGGAAAGAAACAAAGTTTTTTTTTGTACTTACCCTCCAGGACGTCCATGTCGATTAACTTGATATACATTACCCTCTTCTGTTCCGACCCAAAAGGCCGTAGTTTCATTATCTGGGAACCCAAATGAAGTAACTGAAACTTCATCAGTTTTACTGTGTTCAGAATGTATTAATTCCAAACGTTCCTAAAAAAAATTGAAAATAAATAAATAAATAAATTAATTTGAAAAAATTAAGGTAAAGCATAATATAAATAAATAAAATTTATTTAGTAACGTACCACTGGTTGAGCCAACATATCTAAATGCCAAGTACAAACAACACCGTCAGTACTTGCAGTGATTAGATTGTGATCATTTTGAGTACCCACAATTTGCATTGAATAGATGGGATGAGTATGACCATTGACGGAGAAAGACGTTTTGTGAACAGGAGAAGATTTTGCTCTCGTATCCCAAAGAATTATATGGCCAGAATAAGTACCACCAATAACGAGTTCTGGTCTAAATTCGGAGAATGTTGTTGTGAGCACATCCGACTAAATGCACAGAATTAATTTAATACTTTTTATGAGAATAAATTATAACTATATAATAATATATTACTAACTAACCTGGGAATGAAGAACAAATTCTGGACGTTCAGGTTGGCGTAAATTCCATACCAAAACAATACCATCCGGTTCATATTTTGCAGACGAATTTTTATTATATGAAGCAACAACATGTTCAAGATTCTGTATGTATAAACATCAATTAATATTAATGTAAAAACATAAGTGGATATTTGAAGTAAATAATATCTTGCCTTCTTTGAAAAATTAACGTCAGTGACAGAACGATTTTTGCTCCATCGGTTATCAAAAAATGAACACACGCATTTAACATGATTTCCGGATTCCTCATTGCTTTTTTTTCGCATTTATTGATTTATTAAGATTAATTCTTTTTATAATATTATTGAATATTAATTTAATAAAAAGAAACAATAACTTTACCTTTCTTCATCTTCAACAAGACTATAATCTATCATAAGGTCATAACGTTCGTTAAGAATATCATCGATGAGTTTGGTAGAAGTTTCAAAGAACTCGGCAAATTCTGGTGAATTTATTAATGCTTCTTTGTCTTTTTCCGATAAATCTAATTAAATTATCATCATTATTATTCATTACTATTATTACTCTCATGATTACTTTCATTACTATAGTAACCTTTTTCTAAACCGAACCTAGATAAACCGAACACTTAGTAAACTCTCTAACCAACTTTAATAAAATTTTTTCCTAAAGTTCGGTTTATGTACTAATTAAACTTTTCAAATTTTTTCAAACCGCATCTTTTTTAATAAGTCAGAGGGTTCGGTATAGAGAGTTGGCCGTATTATTATTTAGGGATGCGATCCGTTATCCGTTGGATACTATATTTAATAGTAAAATCCGCGGATATCCGTTAAATTTAATATGAAAACGGATAACGGATCGCATCACTATTATGATTACGATAATAATATTGTCATTGTTATTATTTTTTACTATCTATTATCACTATTTCTCATTATGATTATTATCATTATTATTATCATTATTATTATTATCATTATTATTACTATTACTATTATTATTATCATTATCATTATTGTTATCGTCATTATTATTATTGTTATCGTCATTATTACCTTTTTTTATTTTCTTTTCAGCTTCTATTCTCAGCCGTTCGGCTTCATCTGCTGCTTTTTTGGCCTTTTCAGCTTCATATTCTTTCAAAACTTTTCCTCTAATTTCCTCTTCTGAAGGTGGTGAAGGTCCAAAGGAAGTTTCATCGGCTTGTACTCCCAATTCATATAAAGAAACTTCCTGAAAAATATGTTAATAAAATCTGATTCAATTATGAATTTAAGAAAAAAATAATAATCAATATATAAAAATTTTAATTAATCATATTTGATATTACCTTTGGTGCAACATCTATTGGTTCCCCATGTGCCGGACTTAGTTCGGGCATAAAACGTGGGGGAGGGGTAAAAGTCGGGCTATGATATTAAAAAAATAGCAATTGATTAAAAGAAAAACTACATAGCATGGATAAAAAAAAAACGATGACAAACGTTTGTAAAAAATATAAACTTTTTTGCAGAAATAAATCAAAGAAAAAAAAAAAATTCAAAAAAAACCTTTGAGGGACCGAGGCACCTGGAGACGAATAATTATATGTATAAAGCGCAGCATTCTTACCCTTCTCAGTTTTGCTTTTATTAAAATTGTCAAAATCTGGCGGTGTTCCAGCACGTGCTGCCTTATCTTTCTCTGTTAGCAATGTTCTAAGATATTCATCAGTTTTTTCCTATAAATACACATTCAATTATTTGAGATTTGAGAATTACTATCAGCTATAGTAATTGACTTGATTTACAAACCTTATCTTTATCCCCTACTTTATTCTCCGCTAGTAATGTTTTAACATATTCATCAATCTTACGATCCTTTTCCTATAAATGCATATTCAAATATATTGATTAGATTTTGAGAATTGTAATTATAATTGATTTAATTCACAAAAAAAAATATATACCGGATCAGTTCTATAACCAGGCTCACTTAACGTCGTGTTTAGACTAAAGAGTTTGCGCTCTTCTCTCTGTTGTCTAAGTTTAACAAGTTTTTGCCTTTTCTCTTCCAATTCTTTTTTACGCTCCAAATCCATCTTCGAAAAAAAGGTATAATTTTAATTAACAGTTAATAATTAAGAGATGCCTAACCCTACGGACTTATTTTGGATTCTTAACAATATTATACTTTTGGTAAAACATTTCACATGATTAATAATGGAGTAAATATTCAGCAAATATTTGCCATGTACGCATATAATTATTTACTCATTTCTTAATTTGGAAAGTCGGGAAAACAATTACGTATAAATGGTTGAATTTACCAATTATAGTTAATAATTATCGATAACAAGATGTGAACTGATAAGAATTTTTCATTGTAATACTGTTAATCTATATTCGGATATGTATTTCTTATTGTTATGTTTCAGGCTAGTAACAATGTAATGCAAAAAAAGAGGTAAAAAAAGGCCAACAAGGCGTATAAGTCAATGACTTTATATACGTCATAATTATGAATTTATTAGCATTTAAGTCCATTAATGTTTAGGACTTTATTGATGCATATATGAATTCAATAATCGGAGCATAAATTTGGATTTGCGATTAATGCTAAATCTAATTGAGATAATGACTGCGTACGTAAATAATTTTCCTTTACACTTTTTCTATAAATGGTAAGTCTTGGACCCTTGACATACGTACGTACGTACGTATGGACATAATTTATTTTCCAAAAATATCTTTAATTCTAAAGTTCACATAAAACTTTCAACGCAGCAAATATCAAGACACGTGAGTGACAATTTGTTTCATCCAATTAAACATTGCCATGTCGTAAATGATAACTTTTCTACGATTAACCAATTCATTTATGATTGTTTTTTTAATATTGATATTGTTTACTTTGACAAGGTTCCTAATATAATAAGATCAAAAAAGAAAAATGTTACTCAAAAGAGTTTTACGAAGAATATGAATTATTTTCCATTTATCTATACTTTATTAGGAAATAAACTTTTGATACAGTATATAAAAGGTTATTTGCACATAACTTGTACGTACCTGGTATGTATGTACGACTGGATTCAGAAAATTCGGCAACTGGTTTTGGGGCAAATCAATAATCAATTTAACTTGGGGTGAGAACTTTTTCTTTTATGTATCAAACTTATGACTAGTTTTCAATAAGTAATACTTAAATAAAAGTCTTTTTCATGAAGATGCACTCATACAATTGCTGGTTTGATGTTAGCCCTTTTTGATCGGTTGAAATTTATTATTGGTCACACATGTCATTCTCTTTAAGATTATACGTAATAGGAAACTCAATATTGCTTGATCTTTCAAGAATAAATAATTATCATGCAGTAAGTTATTTTTTTTGGAATAATTTGTCATAAATTATTCACCAAAACGCTCCTATAATGTTTATCGTGTCCCAATTATTTGCCCGACAATTACTTGCCTAACACCCTTTTTTTACTAATAATTACTTTCTTAACATTTTAAAGATGTCGGGCAAATAAAGATGTCAGGCAAATGGTTGTCGAGAAAGTAATTGTCGGGCAAATAACTATCTGGCAAATAATTGGAACCCGTGTTTATAAAGTGTTATAAGTAAAAATGGTCTACTCCCCCAAAAACCTTCCCAAACATTAATTCTAACCCCAACTAAATAATAGTTCTAATATGAAAGCTTTGCATTAAAAATTTATCTAAAACTTATAAAAATTAAGAGAAAATATATAGATGGTATAACACTTATAGGTACGTTTTAGAAATGATGCAAACTATATAAAATTTTATAAATTTGTTTTATTAACATAAAAAATACATGTTTATTTTTTTAAAAAATACTTCTTGTCTTTTAAACTAAAAAAAAATACGATTTTTATTCAATGCTTTACTATGGTCATTCTATAAAATAAATCAATTATTTTATGGCACTTTTTATATGATAAAATTATGGGGAATTTACATATAAGGGCCCAAAATCGAAAATAATTATAGATGAGGGCCTAAAATAAAAATATTTATATATAAAGGCCCAAATATTTGAAATTATTACAAATAAGAGCCAAATTGAATTACAAGATCGTTGCGCCATAATCACTTGCCTCAACCACATTTAGGTTAATACTGTATTTGCGCAAATTACGTCCCGAGGCGTTACTTTGAAATATGCAGTTTAAATAGAGCTTATAATTAATTTAGTCGAATGTGTACTATAATTTTATTTTTAAGAAAACTTCGGCAAATTAATTAATGCCCCAGGGAATTATTTCGTACAAGTACGGTATACAAAAGTGATATTGTGCTGAAAGAATAATATATGATACTGATTTTGTTTATTAGCATTTTTTTTTATTTAATTAGGAAATAAATAAAATAATAGTTATAACAATTCACTTAAAAAAAGAAGATTGATATTGAGTTGGTGAAACATTTTAGTATAATTAGCAGCATATGAATATAAACTTTTTCTAATTTAAGCATTATTATTGTCCCAACTGGATATTTAAGCTAATTTACTTTGTGTCAATGTCTTCAATTACAAGTGTGCACATTATAGTCTTTTTCATCACATTTTCCACAGGTATTCTGATCTTCTGGTACTGTTTCTCCATGGCTATGTAACTGAGTTTTTTGTGACCATCCTGCTTGTTTTATAGTAGCTGATGGCAAAGTTTCATCATTAGGAAAACAAGCTTCAGCATCAATAGGATGAGTTGATTCTTTATAAATATTTTGTAAAGTGAAAGTATGGTATGTGATATGAGTAAACTCTGATGGTTTTTGACTCTTCTTAAGAATGGCAACACATGCATGAACACAAGGAAATCAATATTGTTGAAATTCTTGACAGGTACAGGTTAATGAAATAAGATCCACAACACGAAAATTACCATTATTACTTTTTACCTCAAAAAGTAATTCATTAATTTGATGTACCACTCAATTACAACATCTATTAATAGTTGATTGAAGTTTCTATGCAGTCATTGGTGGTAATATTGTTTGCACAAAAGAATATGCTGTGTGATGATCATAAAAAATGAATTAACTTTGCGTACAAACAAAATAATTGTCTTAAATGGCTCTACAAGACATTTATCATACAACTATGAATTAAGAGATTCAGATACATTAGAAGGTAATTTTATTTATTTCAAGAGTATTTACTAAGAGTTCATATTATATAAGATATTTCATTAAGATAAGTCGCAGCCTTTACATTCATAATAAAGACTTCTTCTATGATATCATTAAAATCTTCTATATGCAATGTCTTTGCTGCAACCCAGATTTTACCTCTAAGTTTTGTTCTGAATTTAGTATTAATATTCTTCTCAATATGTCATATGCAATGTGCATGAAAAGCATTTAGAAGTATAGAGTGTATAGCATCTGAAATACCCTACATAATTTTTTTTTTTAATATAATTTAAAAAGATTATAATATTATATTTTAAAAAAATATATATATACTTTTTTATGATCATTAATAATTACAGTTTTAACCGAGTTTATTACTAGAAGAGCTTTATATAAATGCTTACAAAACCATGTCCAATTGTTGGAATTTTTAATCAAACATATAGCAAAAGCTACAGGAACTAATTTGTCTTTGCCATCAACTATGCTTGTACTAAAGTATACACCTTTATAACTTGACTTCAAATGTCAAGCATCAAGAGTAAACACAAGTTTACAATATTTAACAGCTTTAATCCATGACTATAAACATAAAAATGCATAAGTGAATTAATTTTTAGTATCAATTTCAAATGTTATAATACTCCTGGAGTTTACTATAAGCAAATTATTTAGTAGTGGTTAATACACTAATAGCTTTTATCTATTTCTGCTGCTCCACATCTTTTGTTTGCAGCTAAACTTCTCCAAGCTGTCATGTATAATGCTTTAGCCTCTACTTTAGAATATATACAGTTTACAATATCATGAAGGCGAAGCATTGCTATATCTTAAACTAATAATGCAATAAACTTTTTAAGAAATAATCTATGTGCTTTAAATGTCTATGTAGAGGTTGGGCAAGTTGTATCATGATGGCTAGATTTACAATATGAATGTAACTATCTTTATATTTATTTGCTAAAATAATAAAAAGACATGCACTGATCATGTTCAAGAGACAAACAACAAGTAACTTGTTGAGTTTATTAGTACTGAACTGGTAAGGTAAGGAAAATTCAATAGAATAATTATCCAGAGCTAAATGAACACTTTTCATATTAGTAAATATCATCCTGATTTGTATTTTGCTTGACATGATTAAAAATAAATACTGCAAAAGATTTTATAGAACTAATTATAAGTTTATTAAAATCAAAAAATGGTGAATTTTTGGAAATTGAACCAAACAACAGATAATTTACTAAGAGATAAGTATCTTATATTTTATACTCATATGCTAATTACTAATTTGCATTTGTTAATATATTGTAATAACTTATTTCTTATACATCCTAGAAGTAAATTTAAGTCATGAGTATAAGTTACAAGTTTAAATTATGATTGGCACAAGTTTAGACTTGAGCCATAATGGGCTTGAATCACTGATTCATATTATGCAAAATTATCTTAAACCCTTATTTGTAATAATTTCAAATATTCAGGTCTTTATATATAAATATTTTTATTTTAGGCCCTTATCTATAATTATTTTCGATTTTAGGCCCTTATATGTAAATTCTTCTAAAATTATTGATCTTATTTCATAAACTGAGATAGTAAATCATTGAATAAAACCATTATTGCATGTTTCTGTATACAATAACTTTATAGTATTATTATAAAATGCATCTATAATGTTTATAGTTTATGATATTTATATTTTTTTGTTAAAATTTAGGGTTAGAGTGCAAATACAAGCTAAAATAGAAGACAGATATAAAGATTCAAATTTAGGTTAGCAGGTTCTGAACATTTTTATTTAGTATACCTAGCTTTAGTTAATTTGACAGTTTTTAAATTAGAGTAACTATTATGTTAAACACATATAGTGCATTTTAATAGTGTCATTATTTTTTATATAACATATACACAAAAATATAAACTATTCTGAATT